GGGGGGTTGACAGAAAAACGCTTGCATTAAAAAAAAGTAACAAGATCAGGTAGAAAAGTGATTTTTTACAAGCACACACAGTGGGACGACATTTAATCGATTTTCAATGAACATATTGTATTTCGCTCCTGGTCACCAAATTTATGTCTTGTACACAGCGTACTGCTATGACCTTATCTGTCTGTCAAGGCTAACCCGGGCAGAGTGTGATACAGCTTGCAAGCAAAAAGATTGAGAGATTCGATACAATAGCCTTTTCACACAACAGGTGTCGAATTCAGGTCTTTTTCTATCAGCAACAAAGAGTTAAAAACCATTACACAACAGACGCCGGTTGTGACTCTACAAGAAGACCTGAGGTTCAGAAAATGGACTTTATTTGAAATCCAATGCACCACTGATTACTCTTTAGTGTTTTAAAAACGTGGAGGCGCGGGATGGGTGTTGCAAGTGTTTTCCTGTTTTTTCGGGTACAACAACAACTGCAACAACAATAACAACAAGAACAACAGCAATTCTAGTAACAACACCATCAACCACAATAGCAACGACACCGACAACATCATCAACAACAACAGAAGCATAAACAACAAAAGCAACAGTAATTATAGTAACAACAGCAACAACAGCAACAGCAATAGCAACACCACCACCAACAACAACAACAATAGGAAGCAATTCCTGTTCATTTGACTCGTTTCTTTTTGTGGAATAAACATGCACACATTGAAGACATAACAATACATGCATACTATATCATATAGAAATATTACAGACGTAATAACATTTAATGATTTAGCAGGTTTATCTATGTTACATAATATTCAAAATGTTTGGAGGATCTAGAACGATTATCAATGTATTACACGATATTTTCAATACAGTTGAGTTTTGGAGAAAAGTGGCCGCACTAGACAGGTGGCCATCTTACACAGTGTTATTATAATCTAAAAAGAGATTGTCACATTCAGGTGGCCATAAAGGGATGTTCTACTGTATTTATAGGATCTATGCAGGTGTTTAGACAGTGTATGTAAGTGAGTGAGTGAGTGAGTGAGGGAGTGAGTCAGTGAGTCAGTGAGTCAGTGAGCGAGGGAGGGAGGGAGGAAGGAAAGAAGGAAGGAAGTAAGTAAGTAAGTAAGTAAGTAAGTAAGTAAGTAAGTAAGTAAGTAAGTAAG